GATATTAAATATCACTTTTCCCGAGAGCAAGTTGAAGAAAATACTATTATCCTTCATCATTTGTCCACAGGTGATCAGCCAGCAGATCTGCTCACGAAGCCTCTACCAACTCCGACCTTCTTGAAATTCAGAGCTGAATTTGGGCTCCAATCAGCCAGTACCGAGTGAGAGATTTGATGAGGTTTTCATCTGGGTTTCCCTCATCCTTGCAACGAATGTTGAATCTATTTTCTTTTCTTCCCAGATATTAGATAAAGTTAATTTTTTTTTTGACGTTCTAAAACCCCCCCCCCCAAAAAAAAAAAAAAAAAAAAAAAAAAGTCAAAATTTAATCCCCAAGTTAAATTTACATTTCATTTTTCAATGTCAAAATTTAATCCCCAAGTTAAATTTTGAGGGGGCGTGTTGGTGAAAAGCGTCAGCTGTTTTGTAAAGTTTTGATTCCTCCAATTTTTCATTTCTCAGTTTCAGTTCGGTATGATACCTTGCCCATAAAGGTGATCTAAAAGCGTCCTCCGAGTGTTATTTCTTTCCTTACCACCTTTAGCTTTTACCTTTAGCCTTTAGTAACAACCCCTATTACCACTGGGAGAGGGTAGTTATTTGAGAGGACCTCGTGACCTTATTACTTTGCGTCGGTCGAAAAGGCAACCCTCCCCTCCCCCTCGAAGCTTCTCAAGCGAGCACTGTCATGCTAAGGAAAAACCCCGTATAAACATTCGAGAGATGCCAAATTTCCTCCGATAAAATGTTTATTTTTGAGGGAAGAGGTGAATATTTTTCATTGAAATTTTCAGGAACTTTAGGTGAAATTGCGGACAAAATTATCTGAAAAATCGGAAGGAAAATATTAACAAGTTTATCAGGAAATTCGTGTTTTATCAAAGGAAACTTGGCAACGCCTGTGGGCTCATACGGCGTTCTTCCTTAGCACGGCAGAGCAGGACAAGTTCTCGCAGAGTAGATGATTATAAGGACTTATTTCTATCAAACGGAACTATGTGCATTAAGACATGAGCCCTGAGACCCATAAGAATACACGCATAACAGGGCTCACGTCGTAATGCACATAGTTCCGTTTGATAGAAATACGTCCATAAGAGTCAATACTTACAGGACATTATTGCCACCACTTTTTAATCACCAACTTAGTCAACTTAGGGTTAAGATAAGCCCTTAGCGGGACACGTACATTCGGCTCCATATTGGTCTTGTAAGGCAATAAAATGTCATGCTCAACGCCATACCCATCCTTCAAGGTAAAGTTCGCCGACCTGACATCCGTGTCTTCATCGATCACTCTGTGTAAAGGACAACTCTTGTTGATCGGCAAACCTGAGATTTTCTTGATGGACCCGAACACGCTCCCGTAGGCGAAGTATCTTGCGTAGTGTCTGCAGTTGCAACGAAGTAGATCATAATAAACCTGAAAAATTCATGTTGTGCGTTTAAGTAACATTGAAAAGTGGTTGAGCCGTGTGCAACGTCGGTAAAAAGGTCTGTTCAAGAATTATGGAAGCCTGGCTTGACGACTCCCCCCCCCCCCNCATATTTCAGGACATAGCGCAGAAAACCTGAAAAATTGCTGGAAAAGTTATTTTGTATCGGAAATTCTTATTTAATTTTTCAAAGCAAGTCCTTCCACCGGTACTTGAATGTGCGCGAAGAACGAATCACGACTATTCGCTTAAGTGCGCCTTTAGCGTAAGACTTATCGACGGATTTTGAATTTCCATGTAATGTGTTGACATGGATATTTTTACATGGAATGGAGATGTTGCATGTGTGCGGAATTTGCAATTTGACTGTTGATTCTTATGTAAAAGTTCGCGAGAAACACGACGGTGCCACTGGTTTTCTCTGAAATTAACTCCCAAGTTCAAACAAAGCTCTCAAGTTGAGGCCAAAATGGAGGGAATATCCCACCCTACCCTGAGAGTCCACGTCTACATCAAGACAAACTCTCCATTGCAAAGATAGGGAGCAAATACATTGGCAGGGTTGCCGTGTTTTCAGTTGTGGAGTCCGGATTTTCCTACTTGCCGCCCATGGGCCGCCTGTATTTTGCCGCCTCCTTCTCATTCGTTTTGAAACACCAACAAAAACCATCAAGTGAACATGCCAGCGGGGGAGGGGTGCATAAGACGCGTTTACTCGTGTTGAACACATTTTTTGGGAAAGCTTTGTCAACACTACTAGCAGAAGGTCACGGAACTTTGGGCAAAAGCCAAGTTTCGTAAACCTATCTCTAATGGATAAGGCCTTCCATTCATTAGAAATGAACGAAAATATTATGAAAGAACAAACACGAAAGGTTTAATGATTTTAACTTCCGCCGCCGCGCCGACCGCACCGTGTTTGGCGCAATGCGTGAAGTATTCACGCAGTCTTGTAGGCGCTATGCGTTTCACGCTGACCGCACTGTGTTTGGCACAATGCGTGAAGTATTCATGCATTCTTGTAGGCGCTATCCATTTCACGCTGACCACAATAACCGCACTGTGTTTGATGCAATACGTGAAGTATTCGTGCAGTCTTGTAGGCGCTAATGTGTTACATGCCAATTGCCGCGCCGCCGAGGGCTTCTCCTTTTCATCTCAAGTCCTCGTCATCATTTATCCCTTAAGTCGCGCCGTTCCAGGCCAAATTGTGTGTTTGGTTTCTCTCTTAACTCGACTAATTAAAGGTGCTGTCTCTTGTATCACTGAAAGACGACAAAATTAGAAATTACTATACTCTCAGGAAATGAGAGATTTTGTAGCCAATTCTCGTTTGTAATTTTTTTTTCTAAATCCGATTTTTTTATTACCTACATTTAAAAAAATTGCATAATTTGCCGCCATGGGCCGCGGCCCATGTGGCCACCCCCTTAATCCAGCCCTGGTGGAGTCCCCAAATAAAGTGCCAGCCCTGTCAATGTATTTGCTTCCTATTTTTGCATGGAGAGTTTGTCTTGATGTAGACGTGGACTCTCAGGGTAGGGTGGGATATCCCCTCCATTTTGGCCTCAACTTGGGAGCTTTTTTTGAGCTTGGAAGTTGATTTCAGAGAAAACCAGTGGCACCATCGTGTTTCTCGCGAACTTTCTCATGAAAATCAACTGTCGAATCGCAAATTCCTCACACATGCAACATCTCCATTACATGTGAGAAAAGCACTGATTTTTCCACACGGTTTGGCAACGGTGCTTGGAACTTGTGCGATGCTCAGAAATTGGCACGATTTGCAGTGAGTCAAGTCACACAAATGATGCTGGAGCGCTCATTTTTTTGGCCAGAAATGTGCTTTTCAAGTTTACTTCGCATGAGAGGCTCGTAGATTTTTTTGAGCCGGTGACTAATTTGGCATGCAGTTTTTGATTTTGACAGACCTCGCAAAATGAAGGCAATAAGTGCGGTAGCTAGATGTTTTACGTCTGCACCACGGACGTAACCCAAGGAGCATTTTTCGACGGAAAAATCGCGCTTTGTTGCGATTTTGTCGGCGATAAAATCGCTAAGATCATCAACATCTGAGCTGTTATCCTCGATCTTGTTGCAATGAAATTGCGATTTTATCGCCCGGCAATTTATCGCGATATTATCGCAACAAAAATCGCGATATACGGCGATTTAATCTCGATTTAATCGGTGAAAATTAATTGCGATTTTATTGAACAAAAAATTGCGATGCATAGCGATTTAATCGCCATAAATCGCAATTTTTTATTCGAGAATATCGCGATAAATTGCCACCGATGTAATCGCGATAATCAACCGATGAAATCGCTATTTATCGCGATCATTGCTACTTGGGAAGTACGTTGGTCGCTTAAATTGGGCAAAAAGTGGCTTGCTATCAAAAGTATGCAAAAGTGAGGATGTCGAGCACCTATAAGTAAATCGATACCTTTCTATGGATCGGGGGCTAAGACATTTTTTGTCTCTTTTCCTCAATCAAGTAAATACATTTTTGTCTTTTGACGTGTGCATATTTGGGACAAAGAATATTTTGGATGTTTTTGGAAATCGGTCTTTCGAACACTAAATAGGTCTGCTAACTAGGTGTAAGAGGGAGAGCGTTATGCCCCCAGGCACGATGTCCTGTAATACATACGCGTTTGTGTGCAAATGAATCAAATAAAAAAGAAGTAGCCACGAATATCCCAGGCGCATAGTTCCTTTAGATTTAACGCGTTAGTAGCTACGTAGTTCTTCATAGCATGAATACAACTGTAATAAAGCTGCAATATTTTGAGAGACCTTTTGGCCATTGAGACGTCTCGCAAGGATGGCTCCTTTGAGGCTCATGTTGGGTCGCTTCGGGTTGCGTGGTACTCGTTTGGCTCTCCAGTGACCGACATTACTTTCCTTGGGAATTATATAGATGTGAGCGTAAGAGTTGAAATATGGTCTCCCGAAGACTCCCGTCACCTCCGTGTCGGAAATGGCAAACATCCAGTGGTACGGTGTTACCGACTCATACTTGTCCGATGCCGGGGTGACCACATAATCGCCGAACTTGAATTTCAGCATACTCAGTACGTCTGTATAAAAATTAGACGATTCTCTGAGCGGCGCGAAAATCGTAATCAAGGTGGCAGAAACTGCAACAAATGAGATCGGAAAATGGACATTTCAACTTCTGATGCTTTCATAGAGATTCCCCTACCCTAAGTTCTCACATATCAGTTATTTCGGAATTACTTAGTCGGGTGACAGAAGTCCAAAGAGTTACTCAATTTTTCACCACTTCTTCAAGTTGTATAGAGACTTCGCTAATGGCATATGGGCAAAGGGTGCACCCACTGGCGTGGCGTCCATATAAGGATAAAAAAGCACTGCTGCTCATTTCTTCTTTCAATAGATATATTAATTTTGGCGCGTATACGTAGTATACCGCCTTTGCGATCGTTTCGACCCCCCCCCCCCCACAATAACCGAGTCCCCTAGTTCCTTACCGAAAAGTGACTACCGCGAACTTCTGAGATTTTCCAAAGCGTGTAAAAAGTTTACTAATCCGTCAATAATAATGATTAAAATTTGTTTCTCATTCTGGGGCTCGCTAGTTTATGTGTAATGAATACCAAGAGTCTACGTTTCTTGGTTTTTTTTAAAAAAACCTTAGAATGGGGCGCGCTGATTTAAAATATGCATATATAAGCGGAAGCAAGCGAACTGATTCGAGGATGGCTGACCAGTTCGGCACTCCTTGAATGAGAATTTCACTCACTCCGTTTTGTTCACAACGTTGCTTTGACATATCTCCACAACACTGTTATCCTTTTCAAAAGTTGGTACTCCTTGCTCTGATAGCCGGGGCCACCAGGATAGTGGTAAGTGCAATCTGTGATGAGCCTCGAGACTCATTAGACCATTTGCTAAACGTGGCTCATACAGGAGTCCACTAAGCCCTCTCGTCCCCACGCTCCTGATCACTGCGTCGGCGTCACGAAGAACAATGGGCCTTGGGTCCCAACGCGGCCGATACCCGTACCCCAATTACTCACGCTTCATTAACCATTTCACCGTCACGCTAGGATTCATCCAATTTTCAAAAAAAATTGTTTCGCATGTATTTAGCAATTTTTTCCTTACTCTCCGTTAAAACACAAATAAAAAGAGACCTCATTCATAAAAATCGGCCGAATAGAAGAGAAGTTACAGTAATCGAAATCCGAAGAAATCAACAAAACCTCGACTCCTCGATACGAAAAATAAAATGAAGGGGAAAAAAAGAAAGTATAAATTACAATTAAATATAATTGACCTCAAAATTTGACAAACAATTCATTTATATACCTAACGCTGAAAAAACTGGGAGAAATTACAAAAAATTTGCCTCTTGCAAGGGGCTTCTTTGTAAGAATTTTGACCTGAAGACAACGGTCGAATAACAGCAGTACTCCATACAATACACGGTGTGCCTGAACGAGTTAAACATTTTTCATACGTCCAAATCGAAAAATCTTTATATTTTTAACTACAATGTTTCTTGAATCGTTTAAGCAAAAAAAAAAAAAAAAAAAATTCCGTCGAGATTCTGGAACGCAAAGGCGCTTTAAAAGTATTCTGGGGCTATAATAGCTAAATCACCGGTAGTAAATTCGTTATATTATTAAAAAGAAATTGACTCCATAGTTTAATTCCTTAGTTTCTTGAATACGATTATTTTAAGCACTTAAACATTTATACCACCAATTTTAGCCATGGGGTGATTTCCTGAGAGCCGATAATATCACGAATTTCTCATAGAACCCCTCAACAGTGGCTTGCTTTTTTGGCAGCCGATTCGGCCATCGAACCGGAGTTTAAATGGAAGCTGATAATAACCCAAAGCTCTGAGAAAAATTTTGAGATGAGTATAAGAACGGTTTGTTGTAAGTAGCGAGGAGAGGCGGGCAAAGCGGCTAAAATCCTATCTAATTTTTACAGTTTTTCTGTTGAATTAATGTTGCCGCGGGCTTCTGACTGTCCACACATAGTTCTGTTCAGCATATCGATACATAAGTATTTACATTTTACATACGTAGAATCTAATTTTCACGTCGGGGAGTTGACATATTTTGATTTTTTCGATTTTATACGGAAAATTGATGGTTTTTCGGGATTGAAATTATTATTGTTTCATGAAAAATAAATGCACCCAAAATGACTATAGCATATTGATTCTTACACATTTGCACTCACAAAATTGGTTGGTAAATTCAACGAGTGGGTGCATCGACCTGGTATATCAAGTTTCTGCAATTTTTTACGGCAAATCAGTAGATTTTCGGGATGTAGATTGCTTACTTTCAATTCATGAATGAATAAAGCAACGACATGGTTGAACTTCTTTGCATGGAAAGACGTTTAAAATAACAAAATCAAGACGTATTTAATGCAATTGCATTTATATCGAGTCAATTTCTTTTCAATAATATAACGGGATTTTTACTACCGGTGATTTGGGTATTTTAGCCCCAAAATACCTTTAAATCGACTTTATCTTCTAGGAGTTCGACAGAATTTTTCCTTTCTTCGCTTAAATTATTCCGTAGCACTTTTCTTCAAGAATCTGATAAGATTTTGCTTGAGGCAGATCAAAAAACTTAAATTCGATCGAATAGCTTTCTACTTTCACAATACACGGTCTCGTCAAGGTGCGTCTTTGACCTCGCAGTGTTGGATCGTGAATTCTCTTTTTATGCTGTTTGCCTATTTTGAAATCTCTGTAAATGAAAACTAAAGGGGTTGATATGTGCGAGTTAATGACGCGCCTTATCAACACATTGTGTTGGAGTTCACTGCTTGTTTTTTTTTGCTAATACTTTAAAAATACACCCCTGAAAAAATAATTGAGTCAAATGTTAAAAAAAAGAAAAGGAAAAAAAATGACGAAATTTTAGTCATTATCCCTAAACCAGTCTCTGAGAGTACCTTGTGAGAACAATGAGCACTGGAGTTCACAATTGGACGTATTTTTGTCAAACGGAACTATGTGCATTTTGACGTGAGCCCTGGTATGCTTATATATTCCTATGGGTCTCATGGGCTTATCGACGGTGTAATTCGGCAATCACATAACTCGTTTGCGGTGTCTGAAAATCTCCGTCTCTATGTTAATTTTTAAAGGAGAACAAACTGACATCATTCCTTGAAGCTTATGCAGAATTTTCTTCGCACAGAGAAGAAAAATCACGGCAGTTTTAAAGAATTGCCGTTGAGTCGTTTTCCGTTTAAAAAATGAAGTGTGTCAGGAAGTCTGCGACGTCGCAAACCGAGTTATGTGATTGCCGACTTACACCGTCGTTATGTCTTAATGCACACAGTTCCGTTTGACAGAAATACGTCCAATTCACTCTCAATGTATAAAGTTTATTGGTGTCATAAGGTGAACTGAACGGGCACCCGAAAGTGCAAAATTGCAAAAGCGCACGCTCTTGAGAAATCTATTACCCAATAGCCCTAAGGGAGAGTAGGTATCAATACTCACCTTAAAAGCGCGGATCCCTTATTAAAGGAATTCTTAAGAAGAAACATACCTACACATATTTCTTGTCAATGCCTGAATTGGATTTTATGCGCGAGACTTTACGCCAGCATCGAGGATTGTTCTCGTCAAAAGTATTTTTCCGAAGAGGGAAAAAACTCCTCACAACGGACTACTCGTGGAATGTAAATTGGACGTATTTCTATCAAACAGATTTATATGGAGGTGAGAAATATGGGGTGTGCTCGTAAGTTCTCTGGCCGTAAGAGTGAATGAGAATAATAAAGCGCCAGTGACGCCAGCGGCAATGATCGAGCGCGAGGGGGAGGGGGAGATGGTCGTCGGGGCGCTTTAACTCATGAGCTCTGTACACAATGCTCTCGTGCCATCCCGCGGCTCATGAATCCCGCATTCAGTTGGCACATAGTTCTCTTTTCTCAATTTAAAATCCCGCTTTTCCAATTCTTCAAAAGGAATTACGCCCACTGACTACATTGTTTCTTATCCAGCTTTCTAGAGCACACCCCATATTTCTCACCTGCATATAGTTCTGTTTGATAGAAATACGTCCAATTAGAGGAGACATTACAAATCTTGCTCGGATCTCCAATTTTTTGTGGTTTTGTTGATATGCAAGAAGAACAAGCAAGCGCCCTTAGATAGTTTTACATGCGACATTTGCGACGAACATCATACGAATTTCATAATAACGCCTGGATACAACTATTCGGGCTCCACGGATGCCCGTGTTGCATACGCACGAAAGTGAAGGCGTTTGACTCTCCAGGCACTCATCTCTTTACCCGCGGCTCGGCTGCGGACTGCGGACTGTACTGCAAGGATCTAAGATGACAGAGCGCCTTTAATTCTTCGTTTATACTACATTTCATAAACACGAATAGTTGCTCTACAAATCATGCTCAACACATCGCTCGCTGTATCAAAACTAAAGCACCAAATACACTCGCACCCTACGCATGTGCAACTTCTGCAATTTATCACCTCAAACAGTCAAACACGTAATTATGGACTGCCACACTGCCCCCAGGGATCTCCAATCACAGATCTACCCTCCTACAATCAACAGGAATACAAACCCACTAACATGCGATGAACCCAATGTCACTACCAAACTACTGAAACTCTTTGCCTCCCTTAGTTTAAAAATATAAATTTTCGTACATACCCCCATTTTCAAAATTCTCTGTAAAGACGTTAACAGCCTGTGACGCTGAATGTCTCAAAATATATTAACTAACTAACTATTCATGTGTAAAGGATGTCTTTATAGTAAGTTCGTATTTTTACATTATCTTACTTACTGAAGAGACTGTACAGCATGGTCCTTTATTGGTTCTCACACCTCATACCCTGATCGTCAGACTCACTCCGGAAGTAGGTTTGCATAGCTTTCAAAAGCAATTGAATTTCTTGAAAAATTGGAATGCAATACCGCATACTACCGTGCTAAAGAAAAATGCCATTTGAGCCTTCAGGCGTTGCCAAATTTCCCCTGGCACATCACCAATTTTCAGGAAAATGTTTGAATATTAGTCTACCAATTTCTCAGATAATTTTGTCCGCAATTTGATCTAAAACGTCTGAAAATCTCGAGGAAAAATATTCATAATTTTCCTCAAAAATAAACATTTTAGCGAAGGAAATTTGGCAACTCTCGAATGTTCATACGGCGCTCTTCCTTAGCACGGCAGCATAGTTGAGGCGCTGCGGACTTTTCTTGGTTACAGTGTTTCAGAGTATCCTTTGTCAATTTGAATTTTAGAGAAGGAACCGTAGGGTAATTGCTCTAGATTTTTTTGTCTAAAAATGGATAAATCATAGAAAATATTAAGTAGAGGTTTTAACAAAATATATGCATTGCGTTTCCTTATAATGGACGAAGTGTCAGCGAAGATTCTAAGACACCGCAACCGAGTAATGCTCTTTCTGCCCTCGGCGCCTCGCATTGCTGCATGTAGCACGTGTTATCTGCCGTGCTAAGGAAGAACGCCGTATGAACATTCGAGAGTTGCCAAATTTCCTTCGATGAATTTTTTATTTATGAGGAACGCTATGAAGATTTTTCTTGAAATTTTTACGAATTAAAGTTGAGGTTGGGAACAAAATTATCTGAGAAATTGGAAGGAAAATAATCACTGTTCACTAAGAAATTCGTGTTTTATCGAAGGAAATTTGGCAACGCCTGAGGGTTCTTACGGCGTTCTTCCTTAGCACGGCAGTTATCATGTCTGGCGCAATGAGTTTGCGTGATTGGGCACCCAATGTCGTGTCTTAACGTCAAACGTTTGATCCACAAGCCATGGTAGTATCCGCAAATCCTCAAACTTACTCCCTCAATCCGCGAAGAGTAAGAAAATGAGAAACGAGTTGATACCGTATCTGCTGGAGTATATTTGTATAATTAACAGAAATATGAATTTGAAATATGATCATTTCGTAAATATAGAATTGCGCTGAGAAATGATGCAAGTAAGTGATTAATACCCTAGTAAATATTGGCGATAAAAGCTGAGTTTCAAAATACCATAGGGATTCTTATAGCCGGCTAAAGAAGGCTACAGAAAATCATATGGCTGGCTGTAGAATGCGGAGAAAATCATACGGCCGGGCTATACGAAGCGATAAAAAATTATGAAGCCGGGCTATAGTTCCTATCGCCGGACTTTACACTTTATCGCCTGGCTGTTGGTTTTTCGCCATCGATTATAAAAGGCTATAAGAAATTGTGTAGAAATTCGTGTGCTTTGGAAATCATGAAGTTTGATACGGAACCACCTTAATATTTACAAAACAAACGTTATATTTTCCTTTAATACATATTTTTCTTTCATCAATTAAAACGAGAATAATCCATACAGGATGTGCAAACATTTCAAAATCATGAGTTGAATAACGCTGACTCCGCCAGATTAAATATTAGAGCTTAACACAAAGCGGAGCGGCGACGCACTGGCGCCTACAAACCTAACAGGGATACTTCACGCATTGCGCAACGCGTGAAGTATCCCTGTTAGGTTTGTAGGTGCCAATGCGCGTTCCACGCTGGCTGCCGCACCGCAGCGTGCCACGGCGCTTGAAGCAACTATTTTACACCAGAAGTATTGCACAGTATCATACGAAACTGAAGGCGCTCTAATATATTAGAAATGGCAGGCATCCATCAAGAGTACGGAGCTTTCCTCGCAAAATAAATCAAGATACTACGGCCCAAAAAGAGAGTAGTGGTCCAGTAACTCACTAAGTCCTAGCATCCGTAATTAGTGACGTTTAGCATACACTTTATCACCTGGCTGTGAGTTGCTTAATCGCCATCGGCTATAAAAGGCTATAAGAAATTGTGTAGCCGGCTACAGAAGCTATTGGAAATCTCACAGCCGGCCGTAGGTCTATGGTATTTTGGAACACAGATTCTACTGCCAATTTTTACCAGGATATAGAACCGCTTACAGGAAAAGAGACCTTCGTCAACAAAAAATCAAAATTGAGTTATTGATACCAAATAATAGAAGAGCGATCCATAACATTGAAAAAAAAAATTAAATTAACCCAGAGTCATTGAGATTTGAATGGGCAGATCCGGCAGGTTTAATATTATTTCAATCGTTCACCTGAATATGCCGCGCGATAGACTTCCCGCCACCCACGCTCTGTAAAACTGCAGCTTTACGTGTTTATTCAGGAGATTATCAATTGTCATTCTCCAGACAAAGGAACGTTTCTCAATTCCATAAAATTGTCTCAAACTTTTCAACATTAATCCAAATTTTGCTGATTTTGCCGTAAATCAGAGGAAATTCTTTTTAAAATTTTAAGGAAAAAATGCTCAGCAGCTGTTTTTAAACATGCTGCATTTCCGAGGGGAAATATCGCAACTTTGAAATAAAGGTACGTCCTTTTGTCTGGAAATTGAGGAAATGTGTATGTGTGAGAGTGACATTAATGAGTAAACATGTAATGAAGGGATGTAAAAAGAAACGGAAATGCACCACGTATAATGTATATTTACACAAATTTATTGATTAATCAACCTGGCATACCAGAAATGTTGACAACTTTTTCTACATATATTAACTTCATTGAATTAACGAGTTCTATTTCCTCAAAGCACTCAATACAGCGCTCGTTTAAACTACTCTTATGATAATATTCTTTAATACACATTATGTACACATTTAAAAATCATGCATCTTTTTCAAGGAGGGAACTTGATGATGATTTTTACCGGGATTTCTCAAATATCCTGTTTCCTAAATTTATTTACTTACAAGGAATGCTTACAGATCAGCCAACTGTTTGATTAGATCTAAAACTAGTGCCTAATATAGTTTTAAGTTTGGATTTGATATGATCGTTCAAATAAAATTAGTCATTCAATCAGTCGGTTAAAAACTAAGATAAATTGATATTTAGAAGTGTGAAAATATATCACCTTAAAGAGAAAAGTTCCTAGAATTATTACAGCTAAATTACCACAGATAATTAGTAACTAATTCCATCTCAGATTTTTGTGGATTTCTTATGGACATCATCCTTTTTGTATTATGGACTCTGAAGGTTCAGAGAGACTTGAATTATCTCTAATGGACGCCAATGATGACTATACTGAAACACGTGGTCGCATTCTGAGGTTGAGAGAAAGTACCACCTACATCTTGAAATCCACTATTTGATTGAGATTTATGGCATACCCTCCTGAACTCCATTTCCATCAGCTGAGAAAATTAATGAAATGCAGTTTTTGTCAAATTCTCATTACGGAGGAGATTTGAGGAGGGTGTAAATTATTCCACGAGGCCGGTAAATGATAAAAATGTGAAAGTCATGCAGTCACTGATGAAAGTTCAAAATCACGTAGGTATTTCTGCTCGCGATTATACGACGTTTTGCATTCTTTCACGGAAAAACAAATCATTTTCTGAAGAAATGTTCCCTGATTTGTCTTCGCCTTACGACAATTGTTTTGCAGGCATTTTTTTCAAAAGAAAAAAATGGAGTCACGCAGTTTCAATGTTTTGAAATCAGGACTCGTGTTTTGGCACTTTCACCAGCAGTAAGATACACATACCTACTCGTGCTGCAAAGTCACTGGACATGAACTTTTCATTTTCAAATGATGCCTCGTGGAGATACAAACATGGCTTGAGTATGAATAATAAATTTACACGTGTAACTTAGCTAGGTTCTAAATTATTTTTAATTTAAAATATCTTAACAATAGTAATATCAACAATAATCACAGTATTTTTATCTGAGCTCGCTTTCCTCTGACGGTTACCTCATAGAAAAAATACGACCGTATTATTAACTTCTCTGAAAGGCAAGTTTAGATCGGCTTACACCTGAAGTCTCGCAGACGAAGTAATAATCAGAAGCGGAACCAGCAATTTGGCAACAACGGTTTTCCTCCATTTAAATCCAGCTAGAGCTCCTGACTCTCCGAGAATCGATACATTTCCATACATTAAATAGAGAAAGAAGAATGTTGCTGACCAATGGCATTAATTCAACACTCGCGAGATATAAAATTTCACTACTTTGAAAGAATGCTACTTAAGCCAAGAACAGATATTTTCAAAAATAGAAAGCCTGAAAAGGGATTGAAAAAAAAGATGGAAAAATACATCTCTGTTGTATGGAGAGTGTTTTCTCCTAGAAGATGAACTTTTGTTTACAAGAATGATGGATTGGTGAGTATGTATTTTTTATCCGCAGTTAAATTTTTGCTTCTCTATAGAGGCTTAAAAATCGCATCCACGAAAAACAAGTGTCCGATTGACAGTTGAGGCGAATCTAGTAGGTGAATCTGACCCGGTGTTTTGATGAAACCCAATATGTCAGCTGTTTTGAATGCAAAGTTGATATAAGTCACGAGGAATTAAAAAAAAAAGGTGCATGTTCTTGGATCGCTAAAATCTTCTCAGAATGAGATGCAGTTGAGGATAAAAATTTGATTCGGAACATTCATCAGATTTCGTTTTCAAACCTTTTGAGAGGATCGATTATTACTTCCTTTTTCGTAGGTCACTGCCTTTCAACGGTCACGCGAATTTTACCGTCATATGGAATAATGAGAGCCTAAAATCTACCTAAATTCGTCGTCTTTCAGACGGAATAACATAAGCACGTTTCAACGTTGCCACATTTATATTCAAAATTTGCATTTTTACCCAAATACTACAGGGCATTTTACATTGAAAATTTTTTCCGGGGAGCAAAGTCACAAAGCAGCAAAATTTTGAGACAGAAACGGTTGCTCTGTTACTTCTGTGTGAGAAAATGAGTTTTACAAATAAATTTGGAACCTTAATGGAGATAGGTCCTCTGTCTGGAAAACGATGATTTTGACATATTTATGTTAAAAGAAATTAGGTGAAAATAAATTAAATTGAAAGGAACTCTATGTGCACAGTGTTTCCGTGCTATATAGTTCCTTTTATTAATTTCATTTATTTCCACTTAGCTCCTATCAGCGGAAATACGTCAAATGAAAGTTGGAAATCGTCAATTGGCTGGGCTGGAGTAACTCCGGTGGGAGATAGAAGTACACATCTTGGGGGACGTCGCAAACACATCGACGGATTGGTTGTAAGTCCCATGCCCGTGGACGGAGTTTACCATTTGTTCCAGAGTCGCTTGCCGACCCACCTTCGTTTGATCATGTCGGCGCCCTTCTCGGCGATCATGATGACGGGGGCGTTGGTGTTGCCGGAAGTGACCTTGGGCATGACGGAGGCGTCCATGACGCGAAGCCGGTCGATGCCGTGGACTCGGAGTTCAGGGTCGACGACGGCACCGGGGTCCCCGATGGGGCCCATCCGGCAGGAACCAGCCTGGTGGTTCTCGGGCCCGGTCTGTCGCCGCACGGCGCACTCCCAATAGGCGTCGCAGCCGAACTCGAGGCTCTCGCAGCCCTTGACGGGGGTGCGGTCCAGCTCGAAGCCGTACTTCTGGAGCGAGGGCGTCTCGGCGAGGCGCCGCGCGAACTTGATGCCGTCGACGAGGGTGGTCACATCGTCGGGATGCGTCAGGTACCGGGCGTAGATGAGCGGCGGCGTGAGTGGGTTGGCGTTCTTGAGCTTGAGCTGCCCGCGGGACTTGGGGTGGAGCACCGTCGGGATGATGTTCACCGTCCGCCGCGTGGGAGCGCTGGCGGCGTTCGTGGCCGCGTCTCCCGACTTCTCGCCCACCTGCCCGGTCCGGGCGCAGTTGGCCAGGAACCCGCCGAAGAAGAGCTGGAGGTCCGGGTGGTCGTCCGCCGGGTTGGCTAGCTTCGAGTTGACGAAGGCGGTCACCTCCGAGAGCCCGGTCCCTGAAATATCGAACACTCTGGTTATTACACGCACAATACTACGCGCTGAAATGCGCAAATTCCATAGCCCGAAAATATGAACACGACAAAATAAAAATTAAAGAATGAGTCAGATAAGCTATAATCCGTCACCTACCTGACATAAGGGCGTAATTACACTCTACAATGAATCCTGTCTTCCATACATGTCAGAGCTTTTTCGGGCTCATGTCAATGTGTAGTTACGCCCTTATGTTAGCCAAGCGACGAATATGAAAAAACTGCCGCAGGCTCAATTTCAGCTGCAAAAACAATAAATTTTAGTAAATAAAAATTGAGTGTCGGCTTGATTTCAGCTGTTATCGTGCAACCTTTCAAGTCTCAAAATCAGCCAATGATGAGTCCGATGAGGTCTGAGCTGGCTGAACAAATCGGTATAGATGCTTTGCGGGCTGATTGTTGAAATTTATAGACCAAGCAATAGACAAAGAAGAAAAGAGGGATTCGGAGGGATCCTATTGGTGGAAGCGGATGGTTGCAATAGACAAAGGAGGTAAGTAATAGGCTACCTAACGATAACCCACGAGAGACCTTTTGATTATCTTAGTTAGTCCATCATTTTCTTTCTTAGTCTAAGAACTACCCATTTCAACCGATAGGATGGCTCCGTGCTCCTTATGCCTTCTTTGTCCATGGCTTTGTCTACCAATTTCAAGAATATTGGCGTCCGGAATTGCCCGATAAAGGGACTCTGGTTAATGGTAGAACTCTTACCGGACATGAGGCCGTCCCGGAAGAGGAGGTATTCCATGGCGGTGGCCCAGTTGAGCGGCGTCGTGGCCGTGTCGTTGATGAAGAAGTTGAGGAAGAATGCCACGTGGTTGTGCAGGTTCTTGCCGACCCCCGGCAGGTCATGCATGACGGGGATGTTGAGCTGCCGCAAGTCCTCTTTCGGCCCGACACCGGACAGAAGTAGCAACTGTGGAGAGTTAACCGCGCCTGGACAAAAATCCACACATTCCATTTATTTTCAAGAATTTTTCGTCATGGATCACAGAGAAATAAAAGTAAGGGATCGAAAAGATTTGTCACTGCAATTAAAACAAAATACTTACGTAGGAAAAAAATTTGACGAACTTTAGGGTAGGTCAGGAACAGCCTTAATATTTACAATATTTTCAATATTATTCCATCCGAAACTTATGATTTCTGCAATGACAAATGATTTCAATTCATCGGAAGGATTTTTTTTCTATAGTTATTTCTTTGTATGTAACCCCAGGTTCGTAAAAGTATCATTTTATGGTGATGCATTAAAGGCCTCCTCAAATCTACCTCAGTCGAAATGAAAATCATTTGGGGCCTCCTTATGAAAAGAAGCTGTTTATGGAACGACTATGAATACGGCTTATTGTCTTTATGAGAAAAGTAGCTGTTTGAGAAGCGACTATGGAGACCCTAGCACCCACTGTACAGAGTGTTGCATAGGGTTAAACGACAATGCTGCATCAGCATGTTCGATGGAAAAAAGAAGACATTTTCTGCAAAAACGGCTACCACATGCATTTGGTAACTTTTTTCTTGTCATACAATAATGAAAAAACTTGAGTTGCTATGTGGTATCTTTCATAAAAAAATGTATCGATCCCCGATGAACAATAGGGTAGAAAAATGTTTCCCACTGATTCTTCTAATTTCTTTTATAAGTGAATCAAGAGCTCACGATTCAATTATCAGCGCGGTGTTACCAAATCGTGCCGAAAATAAAGTTTTGCTGACTGATTTTGTGCGGCAACGTCAAGCCACCCCCTGGAAGACCTGGTAATTGTTTGTTGACAGTTTCTAACCTCCGCTGATGATGATCTCGTTCTTGACGAGGACTTGTTCCCGCTGTCCGTTGGAGATGTACTCGACGCCGAAAGCGAGCTTCTTCTTGGGGTCGATGAGGACCCGTGTGACGGTGCTGTTGAGGAGGACGTGGAGGTTGGGCCGCTCCTTCACCGGGCGGAGGAAGGCCTTCGCCGAGCTGAGCCGCGAGCCGTTCCGCGACGTCGTCTGCGCGATTGCGAACCCTGTGTGCTGCACCCCGTTCAAGTCCCGGATCTCGTAGCCCATCTCCAGACCAGCTGAAATCCCGATTTAACATACAGTTAAGAGTTTTCATTTTTTAAAATGTTCCTTGCAAGATTCTGAGGGTTTTAATTTAAGCATGGTTGAATCAGTGAGTCCAATGAAAGGTTGGAGGGAGGGGGTTGAAGCGGAAATGTTAAGGTGCTCAATGCCCCAAGATTTGTGGTTTGAAAGAGAGCAATGGAGGTTAGGAGTCGTAGAGCGCGAGAGAGTGCTGTAAAGCGACTTATATGTATGTATGTATGAATCAGTGAGTTCGAAAACACACCAACTCGACCAAAAAAAAAATTGTTCAGGAAACACCTAAAACTGCGTAGCGGGCGAAGAAGTTAGTTTAAGAAAAACCTTTTTGGTACCTAAGAGTACCTTTTTGGTAAGACAAGTACTCAGAGACTTTGTAAAGCACCAAGTTGAAATCGATTCACCATGTTTGATGACAGAGAATTAAGCGTTTAAATATTTCCGAGTTGGTATGTTTTCGTTCTCACCGACTTTCAGATACTGATTTTTCATAGTCTGCCCAGAGAATGTTTTATTTTTTAACCTGAATAACGCTTGAATACCCTGGTAAAAATTGGCAGTAGAATCTGTGTTCCAAAATACCATAGACTTAAAGCCGGCTGTAAGATTTTCAATAGCTTCTGTAGCCGGCTGTACAATTTCTTATAGCCTTTTATAGCCGATGGCGATTAAGCAATAGCCAGACGATGAGGTTTATACTAAACGTTACAAAAAACGGATACTAGGACTTAGTTAGTTTTTGGAGTAGCGCTCTCTTTTTGTGCCGTAGTATCTTGATTTATTTTGCGAGGAAAGCTTCGTACTTTTGAAAGATGCCTGTCATTCTTAATAAGTTGGAGCGCCCTCAATTTCTCATGATGTGCAATACCTCTGGTGTGAAATAGTTGCTTCAGACGCCGCGCGCCGTGGCACGCTGCGGCGCGGCGGGCGGGCAGAGAGTGCAAAACACGCATTGGCGCCTACAAACCTAACAGGGATACTTCACGCATTGCGCAATGCGTGAAGTATCCCTGTTAGGTTTGTAGGCGCCAATACGTCGCCGCTCCGCTTTGTGTTAGGCTCCAATATTTAATCTCGGCGGAGTCGGCGTTTTTCAACACATGATTTTGAAATGTTTGCACACTCTGCATGTATGGATTATTCTCATTTTAATTGATGAAAAAAAAATATGTTTTAAAGGCAAATATAATGTGTGTTTTGTAAATATCAAGGTAGGTCCGTATCAAACTTAATGATTTCCAAAGCACACGAATTTCTACACAATTTCCAATAGCCTTTTATAGCCAATGGCGATAAAGTGTACAGCCCGGCGATAAGAACTATAGCCCGACTGTATACTTTTTTATAGCTTCGTGGCTATATGATTCGCTCCGCTTTCTACAGCCAGCTATCTGATTTTCAATAGCCTTCTTTAATCGGCTATAAGAACTCCTATGGTATTTTGAAACGCAGCTCCTATCTCCAATTTTCACCAGGGTATTTAAATAACTTGTTGGTACAAGGTATACTGAACCGAAAAAAGAACACAGCAAAATAGGTTGGTCACCCGTTTCCCTTGAAATGGCCAAAAATTACAATTTCCAATGAAATACTTCGATTTTTCCCTTTTCCCGTCGCTGTTTTGAGCACTTCCGATTGCAATTTCCTTTTGCGTGCAGATGCACGCAAGTGCCGTTCTATCCGTAAGTGTTACTAAACCGTAAAAAAGTGAAAATCGAAAATAACCCGAGTTGGTGTGTTTTCGAACTCACTGATTCAGTTCTAATAGCTTTTTTTGAAAGTATGAATACTTTCTCGATCTTTTTGTTATTGCAAGTTGACCAAGCATTGATACAACACAGTATGTGAGATAGGAAAAGAGAATGATACACCATCATTAACAGATCCATGTCGCAAAATCTTGACAAGACCAGAACAAGGTTTGATCGAACATAGTTTACATCAGCTGAGAAAAACGAAGATAAAACCAGATTCAACTGAAGACGTAAGTTACTTTGTGTTTCTCATCCCATTTTAACCGAGTTTTCATATTATTTCTCCTCTTAGTGTACACTGTAAAAAGTATGGTAGGTAGATTATACCACAGTATGACACAGTGATACGAGTATGGTAATATACATGAGTCTCTATGGTAGCATTTGCCATATTACGGTAAGTATACTACCGTAATTCTTATCATTTTCACTAAATAGTATCTCTGTGTAAATATTAAGTAGACTTATATTAGAAGAGAAAAAAACACTAAGAAGTCGCCCAAATATTGTATGTTACAAGTTGGAGAAATGGTGCTAGGTTCACACCATTTCGCGGAGGAATCAAAGCCAAGAAGTTCCAAAAATTTTAAATAGAGTCAAAAATAAATCTTTTTAACTCTAATGAGTACCAGTAAAAAACTGAGGGGGGAGAGTGTTCTGCTCAGGCAGTTTGCATTGGAATATTAAGTTGGAGTCACGGCGAGAGATCTATACCGGTTTGGGTCTTTTTAGACGTCATCAGCAGATCACACTCGTCAGTAAACCCAACTTAACCCTCAGGTTTTTACTGGTACTCATTAGAGTTAAAAAGATTTATTTTTGACTCTAATTATAATTTCCGAAACTTCTTGGCTTTGATTTCCCCGCGAAATGGGGTGGACCCAGCACCATTTCTCCGCTTTGTTACACATACAGTATTCGGGCCACTTCTTAGTGTTTTTTTCTCACTTGCTGTATTTCAATAATTGGCAAAATTCAGTGTCAAACTTTTTCAACAGATAAAATTTACAAATACTTGAAGACTTTGTGATGATTAATTTCTGTGATGTCAGATAAAAATCGGGCTTAAAACTTGGACTTGTAAACGTTTTCGGGAGGCTTCCCCGTGTGAAAGGGTTGGGTCCGAGCGGGACTTACCTTGTAGGAGGGCGTGCGAGAGCGGGGGATGGTAAGGGAACTGAGTGACAGTGAGGTATCCACCGACGCCGTGGTATCCTGGGTCCATGACGGAGGCCTGGAGGTTGTCCTCGGACTTGAGGAAGTAGGGGAGGACGTCCTGGTAGCTCCAACCGGGGTTCCCGGCCACGGCCCAATCGTCGTAGTCCCGCCGGCTCCCGCGCATGTACATCATCCCGTTCAGAACGCTCGTTCCGCCCAAGACCTGGAGCCAGACACGTATTCATCAGTCATCATCATAAAACCTCAACTCAGCGCAAACACACGGAAAAAGTTAAATTGCCGATTTAATAATTCAATTGCTAAAAAAAAGTGACTGCGATGTTTCAGCGTGGATTTTACAACAAAAAAAACGCTACTTTAACCACTATTGTATGCTAATTTAACCACAGGGGGTAGTTTAAGTAGCATTTTAGTGTTGTGAAATCTACATTGAAACAGTGCAGTTACTTTTTTTTAGCAATTGAATTGTTAAATCAGCAATTGAATTTTTTCCGTGCAACTCTAAAGTTCGGAAGCACTCTTAGGGGCCGTTTAAGTATTACGTAACGCACTTAGGGGGCGGGGGGCTTGAGTCAGCGTCACGGTTATTTACAAGGGGGAGGGGGTTGAAGCCTAGCGTTACGTAACAAATCCGAGCCGAGGGAGGGGGGCTTTGAAAAAAACGCGCAAAAAATTGAAAAGCCCTGCTGTTTTCTCGATGTTTGGGGGGAGAGGGGGGTTAGGATAGCATTAAGAGATTTAAAGGGGGGTGTAGATGTAGATGTCATTGTCTTTGCTCTTGTCGTTTGTTTTCGTTCTTGCAAGAGTGCTAACTGAAAAGTTCGCACAAAAATTTTGAGCAGTATCCTTTGAACAAAATTAAATACGAGAGACAATTTCGTAATGCCACAACTGAAAACCATGGTTTGGTTGTTTGAAAGAAGCGAATGGTGTATGTGTACGGTTACCTTTCCTCTGGGCCAATAGCAACGGCGCTCATTCTCATTGAGGCAAGCCATATCCTCCGGCTCGGTTGAGTATCGCCAGTCGATGTCAGAGCCCAAGAAGTTAAGGAACATCGATGGAATCTGGGTCCCTGTCGGTTCATTTCCACCAGCTTCGATCAGTAGCACTCGCCAGTAAGGCACCTGTCAACACAAACAATCCACATTGTTAGTATCCGTCAACGAATGGGTAGTCAAGCGCATACCGAAATCTTACAGTGCCAACGGATTAAAAAGCGCCTTCAGTTACTGTTGTATGCAATTTCATATCCACTAGCGTTAATTGTGTCGTATCAGCTACACTATTCAAGGGGATCAACGTATCGGTAGCCGAAGTAAAATGATCACATCCATCGCAGTACTTCAGCATCTTTAATACGGATCAATCAAAATATCTCATTGAAATTATATTTGTGAATATTACTGAATGAGAGAAGAATATTCACAGAAAATTTAAAAACAAAATTGTTGATTAGTTTTTCTAAAAAAATAAAATAAAACACGAGCAGTGAAATGTCTCAATCGGAGATAAAAGCATTCCTTGACCTCAGCTCTCGATATGAGTTGTATTACACGAATAATGTGAAGCAATTTTATTTAAGTATCTTGAGTCGGACAACTTGTACTAAAATCATTTTTCTTTGGTCTTCTTTAACTTTTTATTTTCTTTAAAAGTAAAAAACTAAATAAAATAAAGCTTTAAAACCTATTGTGTGGTAGTCTCAGGTGTTAGAAAATTAACGCAAAATTTCAAGTCGAAATGCTATACTTATTTTCTGGTTTAAAAAAATGAAACCTGAGAGGAGCAAGCCACGTGCTATGAAGTTAAGTGGGTTTCGGGTGCAGCAGCTTAGTTGAAAATACAGTCTTCGTTTGGAAAATGATTGCATGATAAATTGGATCAAGTTCATCAGAAAGGAACCAACCTACGTTAAATTGAAACTGATAAAAAGAGGTTCGAAGTTTTATTCCTGCATATGGCTCAATGTAGAAAATAAACTTTAATCCCTTTTTTTACAAACTAATCTCTGTTTTTCGAACTTCAGTTTTTGGCAGGAGTAACTATACGGCTAGTAGAACTCAAAAACATTCTTAACTCAATTATTTCGAAAATGTGGGTTGGTTCTTCTCTTTTAAACTCGGTCCAATTGGTGATCTTGATTGACAATGAGCCGTAAATACCGAATGTATATGACAACAAAATTAAGCCTTCACCGAAAAAAAAGAGATGCTGAGTCAACATTCTGGATGTAAAAAAGTGTGCGACAACTCACAAAACACTGAATTAACCGCTACAGCAGTTATACTTCAGAAATTTAAAGATGTAAAACTAACTGCTGAGGTGGTTAATTCAGTGTTTTGTGAGTTGTCGCACATTTTTTTACATCCAGAATGTTAAATCTGCATTCTTTTTTTTCCGGTGTTTTTTTGTGAAAATGGACCGAGTTTGTCCGGAAGAAACCCAGTTGCAGAGATGCCACTGTATTTTTAAATTTCAAAAAAGGAGTGAAGAGAAAATGATAAGAATTTAAAATCCTGGCTCTTGCGTAAATAGCATTTGTTCCAAGTGGACCCCAGCGATTACTCTTATAAAATCGTTCGATTAGTAAAACAGTCCAGGTCACGACCTCCCGACCCGCGGACGCGTGCGGTCAGCTCTGCCCACCCTTTCAGCACCTCTCACAATCGCCCCTTTCGACGGGCAATTTATTCAGCGTCTGTTCGCAGCGGCAGCGGACCGATGCGATCTAGCGGTCGATATATTTACCTTTGGTCATCGTACCTCGAAACAATGCCCGCTCCTAATGGGCTATTGACCGGTTGCGTTTGTGCAACGCAGTGAGAAATCGCTGCCCATTTTAGCACGGATTTATTGCAGCTTTTCTTCGGCTATTCGAAGCAATTTGCTCGGGCGATTTTTTAATTCTCTATTTGTCTTAACGACTAGTGTTCGGCCAATGAAGGGGGACGACCCGGTTAGGACCGTATTCTTGTGTCCGTTGGACAGATCAGAGACAATATATTTTAGCCACCCTGCACTGCTATCCTGACTTGAAAAAGTTAACTCCGGAGGTCAACTCTCAGATTTGTCTAATGGTGACTGATGATTAAAAATTTGAGGGATTGGTTTACCAATCCTAACTTAATTTGCAAGAACTCGTCTGATAAAGTGCTTACCCTGACATTCATCAGTTATCATTAGGCGAATTTAATTCGATTTTTTTCTCAAAAAGTCGTCCATCAACCATCAAAAGGCGAGAAATAGCGTTAACCTCCGAATTTAAATTTTGTTTCACTCTGTTACATTGCTCAATTTTTTTGCGCAAAGTTTCTCGAATATGTTGTCTCTGTCTGCAGGGGCAAAAAAGAGCGGGTATGAACGGATCACTGTTTATTCTAACACTCCTCCAAGGACTTCACGAGTCCTTGAACGAGTTCTTTCAGGAGTCACGGAGAGGAGACTCATGAATAGATATATATTTAAACAAAAAGAAAAAAAATACTGTAACGTAAAATTCAGCATATTTGTCGTCGTTTAATTTTGTCCCCGAAGAAAACTACGCGTCAGTTCCAGACATTTTAAAAGCACAAAGCACGATCGCAGTTTCCCAGATGGGATATTCCAAGCGATATTATTGATTCATTTTCATTTTAGGAAATGTAATTCGGAGGGGAATTTTGCATGCATAATCGGATCTGCTTCAATACATCGGTGTGTAGAATTTATTATACATGCAATAATTTAAGTGGATGTTTGAATGTGAATATCATTAAAAAAATGCGATAACGTGAGATAATTCCTTGGTTAAAAGCTGTCCTTTTTTGGAAAATCTATTTATTCGTATTTTTAGGTCGGTGCGGGTTTGGCAGGTGTAAGCTTTTGATAACCACTTAACACTGACAAAGAGGTTAGGTGAAATTTAGTACCGCAATCGCGTTCAAAAACATTTTCTCCTCTCATCTCAAAATGACATTAAAGTAGTGATGGACTGTCAGTGCCTTTAAGGCACTGAATTTATAAAGTTGTTCAGTTCAATGGCCTTATAGCCTTGGTTCGCGTTCAAGCATCTTTTCAGTGTATAGGGACTTGCTCAACTAAATAAATACAATTTGGAAGTCCGAGAGTATCTCGTTATGTTGAAATGTTAGAGCAGGTTTGGATATTTAGAGTTAGTAGGTATTGTAATCTGACAGTCAGCCCCATACTTTTATGATTAGAAGACGGTAAAGAATAAAAACAATTATCATCCTTTTGTCAATTTTAGTAACAATGTCTAAATATTTTTGCAAGATTCTTCGAATTTATCAAATATTATCCGTTTAAATAGAACGCTGACATCATATTTCTTAACATTCTCCGTTACTGACTTCCATCCATCATTTAAAAAATTCCAGCGGAACATGTCCATCTATTTAAATGTTTGAAGGAAACGTCACTTGTTTGTAAAAACTGCAATATTTTCAATGATATCACCAATCTTTTCAAATTAAAAGCAAATTTTGTCAGATCTTTGACTTGCTGGTTAGCAACGTCTTTACGCGGAGTAGGAGGAGGACGAGATGGAGAAGGAGAGGGTGAGGGAGAATGAGAGGGGAAGTGGAAGGGAGAAAGAGAGGGTGAAGGGAAGGGAGAAGGTAAAGAAGAATGAGAGGGTGATGGAAAAGGAGAAGGTGAAAGAGAAGGAGAGGGTGAAGTAAGAGAAGGAGAAGGAGAATGTGAGGGAGAATGAGAGGGGAAGGGAAAAAGAGAGGGTGAAGGAGAGGGAGAGGGTGAAGGAGAAGGAGAGGGTGAAGCAGAGGGAGAGGGTAAAAGAGAATGAGAGGCTGATGGAGAATGAGAAGAAGTAGGAGACGTAGAAGGAGAGAAAGGAAGAGATGGGTAGGGACTAAAAGGAAAGGAAGAAGAAGGAGAGAAAGAAAAGAAGGAAGAAGAGGAAGTATGGGAAAACGTACCTCACTGAGTCTGTTGGCGACGACGGCCCCTGCAGAACCGCCGCCAACAACGATGAAGTCATACTCGCGGTCAGGGAGGGATCTGCTCTCGGGCCTGCCGCAGGGATCTTCGAGGTCGCACTGCGAACGGATGAACACTTCCAGGAGACCCATGAAGAGCATAAACGCCGAGCCACCGCAGGTCGTCGCCAGCGTCGGCCCCGGCTGCGTCACCGGGCAGTTACAATTCATCTGAAACATCAACAATCCTGTCAATTCTTGCTCAAACTCGACAAAAACCTGCTAAAAAGTCATATTCGTTGTACCTTCTCTATCGTAAAACGAGAAGTTTTTACAAACCTCCAGCAGCCCGACCACAGACTTTGGCTGCTCCATGAAAAGCCATGAAACAGGTCCGCTCCATAGGGTGTTTCCCTATGGAACGGAGCTATTCTATCAATAACAATGGATGTGAAAGTCTGTGGTCAGGCTCCACGAAAAATCAACTATGCTTTTAAAAAAAAGTACGGGTTAAATAGACATACCGTCCGTTCCGGGCTAAGAGGCCGAAAGTTCCGGGTGCAAGAGCCGTAGCCTCTACTGCTCTGGGTGCTATGCCCGGAACTTTTGGCCTTTGAGGCTAGAACACGGACATACTGTCTATATAGCCCGTAGTTACGGCTTCCGCGGCCGGAGTTTTTTTTTTCAGTGTATGACCTGGGAAATCAGTCCTCGAAAGTGACGATCTCTAACTTAAAATTTAGAGGAAGGAGGATTGGCACGTATGGAGGTTACGCAACTTGAAATTTCGCCTTCAATTTCTGAGCAAAGCAAGAAAACATAGCAACTCCGTTCAGCAACGAGGAGATGCTGAGATGCATCTTATGTTGTCCATTAATCTTGCCAGCGCTCAGAGACATGCTGAACTTCATCTGATAAATTTTAAACTGAATCTGATTCCCTATTCGAGTCTATGTGATTGAGAATACATCAGGAGAATGCATAAATCATTGAAATGAACACAATTTCTACGAAAATTGTTGTATTCCGTCGACTAAACTCGCTATTTCACTAATTGGCAAAATTCAGTAACAAACTTTTTCAATAGATACAATTAACAAATATTTGAAGACTTTGCGATGATTTATTTCTGTGATGTCAGATAAACTTTGGGCTCAAAACTTGGACTTTTAAAAGTTTTCGGGAGGCTTCCCCGTGTGAAAGAGAAAAGTATGCGGTGATGGTTATTTGTTACATCTTCCGTAAAATCTCAGCTTGCACGTGGTGATGTTACAATATAAGTTCAGGAAACTGCTACCACCTTCTCTTAATTGTCTACGATGCGGAGCTGATGAATCCTAACAAGCATGAAACGCGATGTCCTTGGTTGCCAGTTCTAACTCGCCTTCGAAATTGAGCAGAAAGATCGTTTTCTATGATCATGGGCTTTTGAAGAATAAATGAAAATCTAGTACCTATATTGACCCTTTAGATTGTGTCTGTCTTCCAGTTTCCTTTTCATCATTTTCTTTTTCCACGTAGTCAACTTAACATCCTTCATAAACGTTGAATCGTTAAATTAACGGCAGGGGTTGCTTTGACGAACGTTTTGAGGTCGTCAACCATTTTTTCAACATCGAAGATGCTAGTTCAACACCATGATTTTTTCTCGAAGTAATTTTGAATTTTCACACACGCCGAGAGATCAAGGAAATTATAAATCCACATTTAATCAAATGGCAAATCCGAGCCAAATACGGATTATAACTGAAAACGAATATCATGAACAACACGCGAGTTCGCGAAAGCGTTCGAGAGCGAGAAGAAAGATGCAGTCAAATATCAAACACGTAGAAAGTGTCACGTAAGATGAGTTACCGACGCACAGTAGTTTGCCTTTGAAGTTTAAATGGGGAAAAACTCAAAGTCCAGAAAATTCCTAGTATATTACAAGTAAATCATGAGTGAACCTGCATTATTGACATTTTTTGCGAGGATGCATTACCAAAGTTTGACTGCTCTAATATTTTACTTCAGGTTGGCAAAATTGGTCCTTTTGATGGTGTATTCAGGATCTCACCGATCCTTCCCCTGATCACAATGTAGGCCATATGGGGCCTTCTTGGGGGCAGGAGCTATTTAGGGAGTTATCAACTATGGACACGGCCCTTATTCTTGAAAACAGAAATTTTCGTGATCACTCGGTCGGCATCATACATTAAATACATTGTAGCGGGCTGATTGTTAAAATTTATAGACAAAGCTATAGACAAAGAAAACATAAGGAGTATGGAGCGATCCAAAGGTTGAAATGGGTGGTTCTTATGGACTAGGGGATAAAATGATAGACTAATTTAAGGGTCTCTTGTGCGTTACCGTTAGTTAGTCTTGTACCTACCTCCTTTGTCCATCGCAACCACCCGTTTCCACCAATAGGATCCCTCTATATCTTTTTTGTCGTCTTTGTCTATAGCTTCGTCTATAGATTTCACGAATAAACCCGCAGCGGGCCGATGATTGAAATTGATAGACAAAGCTATAGACAAAGAAGACATATGGGGTGTAAAGCAATCCTATCGGTTGAAATGGGTGGTTCTCATAGAGTAAGGGGGAAAATGATAGACTAACTGTCGGGTCTCTCGTGGGTTGCTTTTAGTTAGTCTATTACCTACCTCCTTTGTCCATTGCAACCGCCCGCTTCTATCAATAGGACCCCTTAAAATCTTTTTTGTCTTCTTTGTCTATTGCTCTGTCTATCAATTTCAATAATCAGCCCGCAGGACTGTGAGGTTTTGGTTTCTGAAATCGTTACTCGGACCACCGTATGACGAGGTGAAGAGTCAGCGGCAAGACCAGAATCGTGACCGCTGAACGGAAGGAGATGGAAGTCGCGGGGCACCCATTAGAAAACCAACTTGTTGATATTAAACTTCCCCACATCCAGGGAGGTTGTACAATTTTGCAAGCATTTAATGAAATGTATATGCGGTGAGTGCATACGGCTTTGCGCGGGCCGTGCTGCCTCCTTTTCCTCTCCTTTAAGCTCCTAACAAGTATGGCATTAAATAGTTACTGCAGAGAATTGTGACGCTCAAATAATTGGACGGAGTTAAACAGAAAGGCACCAAGCCACATCGGGATCGAACCGAGAAAAAGAGGTTTAAAGTTTGGCTCCTGCATAAGACTCAATGCAAACGATAAACTTCAAGTTCAATTTCTGCAAAATTTGCTGCAACAAAAACTTTGAATTTTTGGTGATAGATAGTGGAGCAGTGGTTGAGTTCAAAACCACTCATAATTCAATTTTTTCCAAAATGTGGGTTGGTTCCTTTCTGCTTAACTCAGTCCAATTGTTGATAGTTACCTTCAAAATTCGTTTACTCAAATTTAAAGGAAATCACTAATTTAGCGAAAACAGCAAAATTTGTCTTCTTTGAATGAAAACGGTATACCTGTGACCCTGTGAGGAAGCCGCCGTAGGTGCGCGAAAATCTAAAATGTTTTAGACGAAACATCCGTCAGGGGTATATCCTTCCACTTTTTCAAAGATTTTTATTCGCAGTTTGATCTAATGCATTTGAAACAAGGTGGCAAAATTTCATGAAAAATAAAATCTTGAAATTTCGGGTGAAATATATTCATTATCATAAAATATCAGAAATTTGTGAAATATATTGAAAAATACCGGTTCCTTTTCATGTTTCGCAAAATGTAAAAAGTGTGACTTTCTTCTAGTTTTGTGTGTTTGCGTGCGGGTTGCATACTCTAGCCCCTGAAAAATATGAGTTATTTCACAGCCTCGTGAAATTTCATGAAATATTTGAATGAAATTTCCAATCTTTTATTTCTTTCTTACGATTCATGCCACCCTGATTTGAAACGACAGAAAATGAGGCGGTATCCAGGTTGATCCGACGTTTATCCGGATCTCGAGTCCAAATCCGCATTGATCCGGCGCAGCGTTGTGATACGCCTCGTTTTCGCCAGCTCGTGCGTCAAAGCGCGGCGCGCGGCTGACCATGACCACAAAAACGCCCCCCCCCCCTTCCCTCTCACAACTCCCTCCCTTCGTCAAGTTTCGTTTTAGGTGTGGTATAACACCTTCCTAACAAGGAACCTCCGTATGCTTATTGAGTATAAAACTCACTTATTAGATAATTTGACCACGTGGGTCCAAGTTAGGTTGATTCGACCAAAATTATTTGCTTCGTGTATGATAGGTGAGCATGTATTTTGGTGCCTCACCTCTATCTCATTCACCAGTTTACAGAGAAAGTAACTATAGCTGCAAGTACAGACAGTATATTTTTTCTATCCTTGCGTTAAAGTCTCCATGAAAAAGTGTTAGAATGAGTGACCCTTCCAACCCCGTTTTTTTTCGCCCCTGCAGTCAGAGATAGCATATTTGAGACGCTTCGCGCGAACAATTTAACCATCGTAATTGAGTGAAGCAGGAGTTAAGTTCGGAGGTTAACGCTGCTTTCTACCTAGTATTGGTCGACGTGCAACTTTTTGAGTAAAAAATCAAATAAAATTCGCCAAATGATTACTGATGTTATGTCACAAGAATTTTTCAGGGCAAATTTTTGCAAATTAGCTCAGGATTGATAATCCAATGGCTCAACTCTTTGGTCATTACAAATCAAGAAATCAAATCTAAGAATTTACGTTAAAAACGGGGGTGAAAGGGTCACCTACTCTAAAGTGATACTTCCAAAAGTAACTTCTTACTCTACAGGGAAGTTAACAGTTCAGGGTTTCTAAAATATATTATCTATGCGTCGTAAAGACTCTAAATATGCAGGGACGAAAAGAACGGGGGCGAAAGGGTCATTTTTCTAACACTTTTTTAAGGAGACTTTAACGCAAGGATAGAAAAAATATACTGTCTTTATTACTCTAAGGTAATACTTCCAAAAGTAACTTTCTTACTCTACAAGGGAGATAGCAGTTTGGGGTCTCTTAAATGTATTGTCCTTGGTTTTAACAGTCCGTATAAAAGGACTGGAGTCTCAGTGTGGTATAGTTTATTGGGTAGAGCTACACACTGAGGAAAAGCTAAAGCTTATAATAATCCAATTATTGGTTCATATGAAACACCATTAATAGTAGTAAAGGCAACTTATAATAAGAACACATATATTCTGATGGTGATGGTTTATTCTGCCGTGCTTAGGAAGAACGCCATATGAGTCATCAAGCGTTGCCAAATATCCTGTGGTTAATCACGAACCTTTTTTCCAATTTTTCAGATAATTTTCTTCGCAATTTCACCTAAAGTCCCTGAAAATTTCAAGGAATAATATTCGTAGCTTTCCTCAAAAACAAACATTTTATCGAAGGAAATTTGGCAACTCTCGAATGTTCATACGGCGTATTTCCTTAGCACGACAGTATATGCCTTAGTATGGTACGAGATACCTTAGTATGGTTCACAGACCGAACATCATTGGTTCATTTACGACCATTAGTGGTGCTCCATATGAACAGAGACAAGAGATCCTCCACTAGTATCTTTTCCATGGTGGAAGCTTTTACTTTCGGGACTTCAGCATTCTACTGTTGACTTACCTACGTAGTTGATGTTCAACAACGCGTTGGCAGCTCCGTTTTGCAAACAAGTCGAAAATTTCCGAAGTTTGGGAAACTTGTTTGGCTCGTGACGTCACCCGAAGCTCATCAGTCACCATGTAGGTAGGTCAACAGCCGAAATTAGGGTGAAGACTGTTGCTCCCTTACAATTGGATTACTTTTTGCAAAAAGGAACTAGGAGCATTCCAATGTTGCTAAGATTGTGCAAGTTTATTTACCTTGCAAACATAAACTGATCATCCAAACAAGTTTTATCTTTAAACCCAATAAACTATAAATTCATGAAAAAAATTACCTTTGTAAATTTAATTTTCGGCATGATTTCAGTGATGGTATTACCAAAAATGTAAGTTGCACAATCCTAGCAGCATTGGAATGCTTTAGGTTCCTTTTTGCAAAATGCAATCCAATTGTTCATAAGAAATTGTTGAATCCCCGAAAGTAAAAGCTTCCATCTGTCGCCAAGAGGCCAGTGGAGGGTCTCTTGTCTCTGCATATGAACCACTAATTGGTCAACAAAGCCATGGATTTTTCTCGGTGCAGAGCAACGTGGCAAGTGAGCATTACACCAGGAGCGTGGCAAACCGCCGGGAGCTAATCGGTGATCGACGGAGCGGGACTTTACCTCGAGGCGATGATCGGTGCCGGTGTCGATGTCGGTCTCCGAGTGTCCTTAACCCAGCCAACACTTCCCCGCGAATCCGCGATACGATTCGGATTCCGCTCGGAAGAGCTCGCGGTCGATCCGGACCACGCTCACTCTATCCGGGGCCGCATCAGGACCAGCTTCCACGGAGGGCGTCTCAGATTCGGATGCTCCGCCGAAATTTCCCCTGTAACAAACAAGAAAATATTCTCATCAGATATTGTCGATAGAGGAAGAAAGATGCTCGATTGGGTTCCTCCTGGGAGGAGACGAAGGGAACGCCCAGTGAGAGGGTGTTGACAGGGGGTGTTAAATGAGATAAGGGAGCGTCAAATCCCTGATGGATTGTGAGAAGACCGAGTTTTATGGCGATTAGGCATCGCAAAGCGCCAGAGAGCGCTTTAAAAGCGACTCATGTATGTAGATATCATCGATGAATTGCAAGTTTGTAAATGTTAGGTTTTTGATTCTGCGGCCGTAGCGGAGGAAAATTTGGGGAGGGAAAAACATGAAATTGGGCCCATAACCTGTCAAGATTCTGCGACCGCAGCGGAGGAATACTTGGAGAGGGAAAAACATGAGATTAGAGATGTAAGCACATGATGAGATGTATTTTTCAAATTATGCGCAGATTGAGAGACTTACAAACTGAGGAAGAAAACTGAGCTCGCTTGTTATTGAAAACAGTTTGTCTCAAACTGACTATTGAGTATAAATTTGCCAAAAATTAACTCATTTACCGATTGAGGTAGGAACGTCTCGTTGAGCATTTCTGCACAGAAAAGCTAATCTCCGTCATGAGCGTGACATACATATCGATGGTGTAAGTCGATAATCTGCGGTGTCTGAAAATCTCCGCCTCTATGTTATTTTTTTTAAGGAGAACAAATTGGCATCATTCCTTTGAAGTTTACGCAGAATTTTCTTCCCACAGAGAAGAGAAATCACGGCAGTTTTAAAGAATTGCTGTTGTATAGTTTTTTGTTTAAAAAATAAAGTATGACAGGAAGTCTGCGACGTCGCAAATCGAGTTATGTGATTGCCGACTTACACCGTCGATATAAGTTGTTTCTGCAGCGCACTTTGATACTCTGGGACATCTTCAGGAATCTTCTCCATCCTGCATTCACGTTCAACATGAATGGAGACATTTATATCGTAGGCCCTATTATTTATTTCAAATTTTCTGCTAAAAAAACGAGTGAAACCCTAAGGATTGATTCAGACCAATCCAAATTTAAATAAGTAATTTAAGGCGGCATTCAGGTAAAATTAGACGGTGATGTTGCCAGAGTATTTAACACACCTTAATGACAAACCCTCAACACTTCCAAGTGCCTCCATATAGAGAAACTAGAGGACAACCATGATCACTCAATGTGAGCTTCATCCTGTTCCGCGATTAGCTGGACAAGGAAGTCCCTTCAGGGTTTCCCCGATAGGTAGAAAATGACACACTTATTTTCAATGCTTCTAAGAATGTACGATGGTGTAGGTGGGAGGGGTCCTGAGCATTGTTTTCGAGTAATTTCAAATGAGCACGTATCAGAACCTGAGAGATGCTGTCATCAAAGTTGAATCATCGCACTCGAGCGGATGCATTAATATATTTACGACTTCGCTAATTACAAGTCGCTGAGCCGAGGAAAATAAGCGAATTGCTTTGTATCATGTGTTTAACTTCTTACATTAAGGGGCAAAGTGGACGGGGAGATCATTAATTAGAGACTGAGTAACTTTATAGGATTTTTTGTTGCAATTTTTTTTCTTATTCCTGTGGAAGAAATGGAATGGACATGATCCTCTCTGAGACCTCAAACGAGATGAAATCAAGGATCCGGCTAATGGATGAAAAATCGTTTCACGAGCGGACGAGGGGATTTCCGAACTCTCTCATGCTGCTCACGCTTAGATCCGGCCCTGTCCAGGCTGTCCTCCACCATCGTCAGGGTCAATAGGTCAAATCCTTGTCACGGCTAGAAAATCTTTTTCCGCGCGTGTGGAATTGGAAGGCAATTGCGCTCCAGCTTAGGCAGTTAAAGTAATCTGTGATGATGATTGCATGGGTGGTGAGTGTTGTATGTGGATTGTATTTTGCAAAAAGGAACCAGAAGCATTGCAATGATGCTGAGATTGTGCAACTTCATCCTTTGCAATAAAATTACTGAAATCGTGAAAAAATATGAAATTAAGATGGTAATTTTTGTCTTAAATTTATGGTTTTTAGCGAGTAAAATAGGAACTGTTAATGGATAATCAGGATTTTCTTCCAAGACAAAAGAAGTTGCACAATCCTAGCAACTTTGCAATGCTCTTGGTTTCTTTTTGTAAAATGCATTCCATTTTATGACTTTCGCCCGCCAATACCCTTTTCAAACGCGATGCTAGAAGTATTCCTGCAGTTTTGCAGGCGCTTCTCGAGATCGTTCTGCGGGCAATGTTCAAAGTTTTGGAAATTCTCTCGTACCTCAGTAACGTTAGCCAGTTTGGGAGGGAGACATTCTGCTGTGCTAAGGAAAGGCGCCCCATGAACTTTCAGGCATTGCCAAATTTCCTTCGATAAAAACCGAATTCACTGAGAAAATCGTGAATATTATTTTCCAAAAATTTCTGACGATTTTGTACGCAATTTAATCTAAAATATTTGAAAATTGCAAGGAAATATATGCATAAATGTTGTCAAAAATACATGTTCTATCAAGGGAAATTTGGCAACTCTCGAATGTTCATACGGCGTTCCTCCCTAGCGCGGCAGCATTGCCCATAGTATACGCGGAGTACATAAAAAAAAACCCTGCACTTTTTGATTTGAAATTGTCGGTTACAGGGATCATTCTCATCGTCATAAGAAGCCCTTTCAGAAGGGGAAGCACTCAGGGGTCCGTGCAGGAACCAAGATGGCGGCCGTTAAAGATGGCCGCCATGCGTTTTTGGCAGGGTTTTGGGCCATTACTCGATCGTAACCACCGTACTACTAGAAGCGATCTAGGTGATTCGGACGATTCGAGGATTGACCCATTAAACTCGGCCCGCAAGTTCCTTCGACGTCCGCGTACGTACGCCGCGCCGGGAAACGAATGCTTGGGCTCGTAGTAGCGCGAACAATGGCTCGGGCGACGGGAACGGGGGAGAGGTGGCCGGGGCCGGGTTTACACGGTACACTTTCACCGTGGGAGCCACGCCGCGCTGGGCAGATGAATTGGCCGCCGAGCGATGAATTATGAATGAGCTGCATCACTAGACTGATGAGCCGATATAACTCGTGACGCAACCCGACGTGCTCCGCATTGCGGGTGGCTCACTTCGCTCGCCCGCACCCGCGCACCCATTCGCAAACCTCGGGCCTCGGCCATGAATTTTAGACCCAAGCTGCAAATTTTTTTGTATATCTCCTCATATTTGGACTTATTTATGCTAAAAAGAACTATGTGCAAGTGGAAAGACGGTGTGTGCTTGTGGAAGCCGGATAAGAAACAATGTGGTCAGTGGATATAGTTCCTTTTGAGGAAATGAAAAAGCGGGATTTTCAATAAAATCAAAAGGAGCTGAGCGCTAACTCGTGAGCCGTGGGCATGTGACAAGAGCCTTGTGGACAGGACTCATGAGTTAAAGACTGTGTCGTGGATCGTCGTCTCTCTCGTCGTTGCCGCTGACGTCACTAGCGCTTTATATTTTCTCATTCATTCTTATGGCCCGAACACTAACGAGCACACCCCATCTTTCCTCTTGCACATAGTTCCATTTAGCACGAATAAGTCAATTTTAAATCTGGACGTATTTCTGCCAAACAGAACTATATGTGCGGATGGGAAAGATGGGGAGGCTCGTGGCAAGATGGATAGGAAAAAGTAGGGTCAGTGAGCGTGATTCCTTCTGATGAAATGGAAAAGCGGGATTTTAAATTCAGCAAACGGAACTATTTGCCAATTGAATGCGCGACTCATGAGCCGTGGGCAGGGCGAAAGAGCGTTCTGGACAGGGCTCAGGAGTTCATGCCAACCAAGAGCGACAACGGAGACGATTTCGTTGCCGCTGACGTCACTGGCGCTTCATAATTCCCATTCATTCTTACCACCCGAGAACTAACGAGCACACCCAATCTTTTACATCCCCACATAGTTCTGTTCGGTGGAAAATATTCAATTTAAAGGGGTGCTGCTCCCAGAATTGGACGAGAAAACTAATGTAGCCTCCCCGAAACTGGAAAGTTCATTATGAACGAACACGGAGAAAAAAGTGTCAGGGGTTATCCCCTAAAATTGTGGTACTTCCCCAATTTGTTGGATGATGTGGACATTTCTAATTAATTTTATTAGTATCGCAACTCAGGTTAGGGTACTACCGCAATATTTGGGTTAGTTACCTAATTTATTGGGGTACTACCATAATTAATTGGGATGCTACCATAATTAATTGGGGTACTACCACAATTAATTGGAAATGTCCATACCATCCAACAACCTCGTGCTTTTTTTTCCGTGAAGATATGAGCTTTTAAAGTTTACGTATCATGGCCGACCTCTCCCATTCACCCGCTCCACTGTGCGCCGAGAAGTGATCATCCGAATTAGTCCGAGCGGGAGAATGCTGGCGAGAAGATACTAATTTGGCTGAGCCCGTGTACCCATATCTGCTGTGTTACCAAAGAGAGCAGCAAGTCCAAAAATGAAATTTTTAGAGAATAGAATAAGTAGCATCTAAGCTAAAGCTTTTATTAAACGGACGCAGATAATTTTAAAGGCCCCGCACCGCTATCTTCCATATCTAGACCGCGTTAAGGAGGAAGGAATCAAGCCACATCGGCTGTTGCCAAATTTAATCGGACACTTCAAGTTTTTACAAAAAAAACGACGGTGCGGATTTCTGTTCAAATTTCAGTGAATTTTCTGCACAGTGCGAAACGAATTCCATAAAGTTTCCAAAGGAATCCGCACAAATGTTCTCTTGTAAAAAATTAAATTGCTCGGTTAAATTTGGCAACTGCTGATGTGGCTTGATTCCTTGCTGCTAAGCGCAGTCCATCTAGTAAGTTACTTTCTAAAGAGACTGCTCAGATTCGTCTGATGATGATTTGGACGTTTTGCTGTCAAACGGCACTATGTGCATTAAGACATGAGCCTTGAGACCCATAAGAATATATGCATAATAGGGCTCACGTAATAATGCACATAGTTCTGTTTGGCAGAAGTACATCCATTTATGATCGACGAGTTGAGCGATTGGTTTGGTAATCTTAACTTATTCTGCAAAAATTCGTCCAGCAAGGGTCTTATTCCGACATTCATTAGTCATTATTACCCGAATTTTATTTCATTATTTGCTCAAGAAGTTGTTCATCAACCATCATGAGGCAAAAAAACCATCCGAAGAACATAAACTTGTCCCTCAAAAAGCTTCAATTCAACAGGTAAACGATACTATGATGTTAGCCGATGGCGAAGCGTGAATGATCGATTATCGATATTTTCCCATTTGAAGCCGCAGAAGAGAATCGATTGTTCAGGTGTTCGTTGCAAACACTCTGTTTATAGATCCTTTTCCATAGGTTTAAATGATGGATCAATCTGTATCGCAAAGCACGCCACGCCACAGATGTTAACCCATCTATTCATCTCTCATCGGAGGTCGCCTTCAATTTCGATGCATAGGCAACATGCTTACCGGAGTACACGAATAGTTACCTACTCGATAGATATGAATGAACTTTGCTAAACCAGTGGATCATGCGTGAACCGAAACTGCAGATCTTCTCAACTTGAGAATCTCCTTCAATTTCGTGGCATAGGCCACAAACATACCGGGGAGCGCGAATAATAATAATATTTTCGAAAAACAAATTTATTTCGCTTCATGAGGATTTTTCTGACACGCGCAACTAGCCATTTTTTTTTTTTTTTTAGAAGTTCTTTATTATAGTTTAAAGATACATTCATACAGTTGAAGAGTCTTAATTTTATATTTTATCTTAATTGTCTAGTCTTAGTCTGCAACTAGCCATGTCCAGTAAGAGTTGTACGGAAGTAGTCCTCAGTGGATAATAGTCATAGAAAATCCGCAGTATCCAAGGTGGTGGCTCGAGAAGGAAATGAGTCGAGAGTGAAACTCAATTTAACGCATTCTCCAAAGAAGGACGTATGTGCCACGAGGATCTCACAATGCATAATACCCTTTTTTCAAATAAGCCGTTCAATTACCGGTTGCAGGGAACTTGAAAAGCTACACATGCGAAGAAGATTAGCTCCTTGCATTGTGGCCTCTCCCAAACCAATCCTTCGTGTCGAATTGGTTAATCGCCCGGCGAAATTTTGGCTATGCGATATGGACTTCCATACCCGCTGCTATTGCGTAACGTGAATGAAAAGGGGGGGGGGGGGAGGGAGGGGGGAATCAGTCCTCTTCCCCCGACTTAATCAAAAATGGATAAGTGAACGGAACTTGGTGGCGCGGCGGTCTGGTCCTCGCAAGTGTACAAAATTGGGTTTTGTCCGTTGAAATAAAAGTAAAACTATCAGTATTTTTGAAATATGATGCCACACCCACAATCGATCATCTGTAACGGAGTTAAACGAAGACAAAACAATAGAAAGAACGGTTTAGTTCAAGAACCGATAATTTTTGAAAAGTAGAATGTTTGCTCTGGTTTAGCATTTTAAACCAAATGGAACTCAACAGCGGGGAGAAAGAGAGAGATATTTTCTTTAAAAAAATATTGATTCAGAGCTGAAATTTATTCAGTATGAAAACATGTCTGAGAAAAGTACGCAGTATTTTCGTTGTATCTCATTCAACGCTTTTTCAAAATACCAATCGATTTCTCGTCAAACAATTGAGTTTCCATTGAATTGATCATTGATCTGCTCATAAGATAAAAATAGCTTCGTTAGTTACCAGCGGCAACGCTCTCGTAATAGATTCGGATTTCTTCAGAAGTTCAGAGTGAACAACACGAGCGAGTGTTTCAAGGAATGTTTTTTCCGTCCAAGCTAGTACTGGATATCGCCGCTTTGATACTGGTAAGTTGCTTGCTTATCGAAACTTAATAAATTCCACTAAAGTACGTTTTCGGCATACGTTTCCATACTTGCATTAATGCAAACTGTCACTTTGTAGTGCATCAAAGTATAATAAAAGATCGTTAGGCTGGTCTGTTCCCATCATGCAGCACCCAATAAACTGCTTCTCTGATATTTTCTACTTACAAAGTGATACCCTAGGTCATAGGCGGATCCAGAAACTTTGAACGGGAGCGGCGGAAGAAAGGTCCAAAGCGCTTCCCGAAGAAAATTTTCAAAATTTTGAAACATCTAATATGCAGCTTGAGTTAATTTCGTCACGAATAATGACCAAATCTTAGCGTCCCTTCTTCTTCTTTCCTCCATTCCTTCTTTATTATATTCTTCCCCTTTTCTTGCTCCTTTTTTTCGTATGCTAGTGCAGGGTCGGACTGGCTCGCATCTGAAGGCGCAGACCCTCGGCTGGTTAAATGGGCGTGATGTTAAAAGGTTAAAAGGGCATCCCCTACGTGGAGATGGGGTTCAGAAAATTTTGGCAAGGCAGCACATGTTTACGCTATTTTCAGGTTCAAAGTTTATTAAGTAATCGCAAGGAGTAAAACTTGCAAAATTGAACATATTGAAGTAACCGACAGACTTCTGAAATTCAAGAAAATATAAAAAAATAAAGCCACTAGGACGTATCCAAGCACCATTATTTCCAAAAGAACCGATCCAGTGCTGCGGTTTACACGAGCCTAAGACGTGGGTCTGCAAATCCATCCTAAAAAGAATCAGACAAGAAACTGAATAAAGAAGAAAGGACGAGTATCAACACAGCTAAAGACAGGAAAGACGTATTCGGGCCTCTTTTTTAACTTTCCTCCCAAATCTGAGTAACACCTCATTGACAGTATATAGCAGGGCATCGAGAGCTCACGCTTTGCGTCACCGCGCCTTCAATTTTTCAGATGCAGCACGGACGTCCATCGGGTACGAATAGTTGTATCTCTGCGCCGTCGTAAACGCGCATATCCTTTCCCTCCCTCTATTTACATATTGTGTCTGTTTGCGTTGTCTTAATTCGTAATGGTGCTACAAGCACTACGAGAGTAACATAGCCGAAGGTAGGAGGGATGTGTTCGGGCCTCTTTTTTTAACTTTTCTCCCAACTCTGAGCGACACCTCATTAACAGCATCACCATATAGCAAAGCATTGAGAGCTCACGCTTCGCGTCAACGCGCCTTCAATTTTTCAGATACAGCACGGACGTCCATGAAGTACGAATAGTTGTATCTTTGCGCCGTCGTTAACGCTCATCCTTCCCCTCACTTTATTTCCATATTGTGTTTCTATGTGTTTGTCTAATTCGTAATATGGTGCTCAAAACCAGTAGCATATAGCAGAGCTTTGCGAGCTCAAAACTCACGCCATCGCGTCTTACATTTTTCATGTGCAATGTGGACATCCATCTTGCGCGAATAGTTGTATCGCGTTTACACTTTAGACGTCTCTTATTTTCGAATTTTGAGATAAATGAAGGTTAAGTTTGCCCGAGATATGCTATGGTTTGTCCAAATCAATGGTCATAGAAATATGTTTAAAGGTCTCTCAAGAGGGGTATAAAGGGTGCGTATGTCTAAAAATCGAACCGACCATCGCTTCTAAGGGAGTTACACATAGGGATGATCAAGCGCCTGTATGTCAACAGAAAGGTGAACATTTCACAGAAAAGTGTTTAAGCTTCAAAAAGTTGTTCTTTGACCTCTGTTCACCACTTTCATGCGTAAAAACACCTTTTTTTTACTCCTATCTCTCTCTTCTTCGGTTCATTAAAGAAATTTTCCGCATATATTCTTGGTCGTAATTTTGTTCTCTTCTTATTTTGCTATCTGTCAGAGAGGCGCGTTTTCGGCGCGCCAAGGGGGCGTATCTGCCGATGGCAGATTGGCCTTATGGCCAGTCCGAGCCTGTGCTGGAGGAGGGGGGGGGGAAGGGCATACGCCCTTTTTGAATCCGCCTATGATTTAGGTAGTCTTGTTCCCGACCTACCTTGGTTTTTAAACATGGAGTCATTACATTTCTATTTTATGACGCATCTAGAAGGAGAAGGAGTCTCAGGCAACGTTATTTCAATTACAGAACACCTATTGTTGAAACCGTGATTTGATGTAAACCATCGAATTCTCTTTGTTTCAGGCTCTAAACTCGCCTTAAACTGAGACATACAACGATGAAATTTAGCAGCTCGAGTTTCACATCTGCACTAATTATGGTTGAAATTTTCGAATTTTGCTTCGCTGTGAACTTGAAATATAATCTCACTGAATTAACAATACCAAGTCGTGGAATTAAGTTGTGTCCGTGCTGCACCAATGACCTTTGTAGTATAAATTCTGGAATTTCCTCCCTCCCTGTTTACAGAGACTCATTGCGTCCCTTAGCTGCTAATGTCACCGCACATTTAAAGAAGTGCTCGTGTTGCACAAGTGGTTTATGTGCGTTGAATGAAGTTCGTATGAGTCCTATCTCTGATGACGGAGGCGTTTTTTTAGCTCAAATCTCGCCAGATATTATCACAAACATTCCTGAATCTACCCCGAAAATCACTGATAGAGCTACTCTTGTAACTACAAATATTTATGAAACTAACAATAAGGCGACAACCATCGCGAACACTGGTTCTACTCCTGGAGTCGCCAACATCACTAACACTACTCCTGGGCCCACTGATTCTGCTAAACCTACTCTTGGAACTATGAATATCACTGGGACAAACATCATCCCCATTAATAAGTCGGAAAGTGGAATTGAAAATGGTACTTTTTCATCTGATAGTAATAAAACTTCATCGTTCTTTGATATCGATGAAAAAGGAATCAGTAAGGACAGAACAATGTCATCTGGCGACAACAGCACAACACTGACATTCTTTGATAATGAAAATGAATTGGTGAATAAAACTTTATCATTCTTCGATAGTTACGAAAATGGAACCATCGAAAACGGCACAGTTTTAAGTGATAACAATTGTACAACCTTGACATTTTGCGATGACGTTAGAAATGAAACTGTGTCCTCAGATACTGCTACGACTCAAAGCGGCAATTATATTTTACCTTTTTTTGATGTTGACAAAAATGAAAATAATGAGAATGCCACAGTTCCATCTGATAAGACATTAACTTCATTTAAAAATAACAACGAAATCGTTTTTAATGATACTACCTACTTTTCTAACATTAATGGAACTTTACCTTTCTTCAGTAGTTACGAAAACGAAACCATCGATAGTAACACAATGTCAATTGATAAGAGCCAGAATGCTTCGTCTAACAGCAGCATTAAAGTTTTGCCATTTTTTTATATTAATGAAAATAAAACCAATGAGGATGGCACTGTTTCATCTGAGCTTAATAGCACGAATTTCTTCGTGAGTGAGACTTTCTCATCTGAAAAAAGGAATAGAACTTTTCCATTTTTTGATAGTTACGGAAATGGAACCGTCAACAATGACACGATTTCAAGTGACAACATCAGTACAACCTGGACATTCTTCGATGACGTCAGAGATGAAACTGTGCCTACAGAGACTGCTCCAACAGGCAGCAACAATGAAATTGTACCATTTTTTGATATTAACAAATATGAAAATAATGAGAATGGCGCAGTCTTGTCTGATAGCAAAAACAAAACATTGACTTTATTTGAAAATGAAAACGAACTCGTTGTTAATCATACTGATTCTTTTGAAAACAGCAGTGCGCATTTCTTATTTTTCGACACAGCCGAAAATGGAACCTATGAAAATAACTCGGTCACATTTACAAATAGCAGTTCAACTTCCCATTTCTTCAACTCGGATAGAAATGAAGCTGTTGAAAATTACACAGACACAAAAGATTATAGCAGTACTATTTTAACAGTCCTTAATATGGACGAAACCATAGCAAATGATACCAACGTGACCTACCCATTTTTTGATGTCAATGAAAATGGAACTTTGACAATTGATATTGACAATTGAACCTTTTCTTAGCTCTTCTGCGAGCAAAATCATTGAGAATGATGCTGCATCATACTACAATGACGATTAATAGATCCTCATAGGATCAGTGCGACGTGAAAAGGCTGGAGGTACGATAGAGACAAGAAGAATGTTCCTTTAGGCGGAATAAAAATAAAATGTGATAACTATTTCGCTGCTGGAAGGGATTAATTCTGCATCATGAAGCGCATGTAACGCCGAAAATTCCAAAGATCATCATATAACTCCCTTTACGAGCATATCAGAATTGATGGACGGTAAATCGTGAATTTGGGGAAAACGCAGACAAAGTTGTCGATGCTGCTGTCAGTTGCAGAAATTATTGGCTCAAACACTCATAACATCATTGAAAATGTAAACAATGGTCGGCAAATGCGATCCAACGTTGTTGAGAGTAATAAGAATAATTAATATCGAAAATTGAAAATCGTTCTTTTTGACCCCTATATGTTTTCTTTGCTGTAGTGCAGATTTTATACCCTTGACGGTGGGTTAGATTCTTTGATACAAATCATTTAACTCCGGTGTGTTGCACAGTATCAAACGTAATTGAAGGCGTTTTTGACCCTATGAACTTCACGCGATGACGTAATTCTACGGTGACGATGCAACACTGGATGGGGCCTTGCATTTGACGTCGGGCTCGATTCAAAGCTGGGGCCCTTCCACCATTATGACAGGATTTCTTTTGATAGCAGGGTAGTAGGGTGCATACGCTCCATTTCAGCAGGTTTCATACTGAACTCGATATCTTTGAATTTTCAAAATTTGAATCGGGGATTAGACCGCGCAGTGTTCAGTAGAGGGTCCCCTAATATAATTACAATTCACATGGTAGAAGTTAAAAGTATTCTCACTTAAGAGAAAGGGAAGCGTGAATAGTCTCCGTACACATCGTATCGCCGCACAAGTATCACAAGGCAAATGAAGCGCCTTCATTTTGGGGGAATGCAACACGGGCTTCCATCGAGTACGAATAGTTGCATCCAAGAATCTATGCCAGGTCCATATCTAGTATCATTAGCAAGTGAAGCGCCTTCATTTTGGGGGAATATAACACGGGCATCCTTCGAGTACGAATAGTTGCATCGAGGAATTTATGCCAGGTCCATATCTAGTACTGTTAAACACAAATTGAGTATGTTGTCCTGAGCATTGAAGAATTAGTGAGTATTAGTGGAAGCGTTGTAGCCATCGACTTGTGTACTTGCTCTTAAAATAAAACTGGCTACGGTACATGTTCATTTTTTCCCCCTCTTGTTTTTAGGATTTTTTTTCCCATTTTGACAAGGAGCGAAATTGGCTGTAAATATATGAGATTAGATCGCCGAAAAAGCATTTCATTTTCCTACAAATCCAATTTTCATATCAATTTGCAATATCCCTGTGGCTTGGTTCCTTTCTGCCTAACGCGGTCCAAATATAATGCAAACAAGATGAAAGACCCTAATAACTTCTGATCCCGCAGATATTTGCAATCGGCAAGAACATTTGGCAACCGTGGGCGGTGTGTAAGAAACACTCTGACATTAAAAGGCTGTTTCGGATCCCGTCCAAAGCCTTATCCTTAATTGCCGACGCAGAGTAATTTGAGTCGGCAATTATGATACTTCAAGAATTAGCGGAGGAGCGAAAGGTAGGACACGGTGGCCTTAACAAGAGCTTCGATTATTATGAAACGCCGAGTTTAAGACTCGGCCGCGACACTTGGCCTTAGCGCCCGCGAAAATTTTGTCCCGATCGTGGAAAGTCACGGAAGGAAAATGTGATTAGAAGCTCTGTACTCCGCTATTATCCCCAGGAAGTTGGAGCTTTAAACACACGTATGATCATTATCATTGTGGAGGTGACGAGAATAAATATACGAAGACGCGAGTCGTTAGGATTGTTTGATTTCAAAAATATGCATTTGAAGTCGTGGCTATTTCAAAATCTTCGATCCTATATTTCGTCCTCTGGAAGGGCGACATTCTTAAATATAAATATCCAAAGTTATTGAGCAGTACAAAGAAAAAATTTAGGAAAGATCAAATGGATCGCGTTAAACAGAGAGGAACTTTAATTCAAAGAAATCGGGATAAAACGACAAGAATCAGCATAGATCTTGAGGAATATGATGGGATAATTCGAGGTGTAGTGTTCTGCCTTCCCCTAAAATTTTAGGAGCCACCTTGGCCGGAAAGCCCAATTTTTAGGAGCCATCTACTATTTTTTAGGAGCCAAATTAAATATTTGCATACGGGCCATGGCGATACTACGAACGGTACATAGAGGCCGCTTCATCTGCTTCCCGATTGCGAGTCCAATCTGTCAAATTTTCTAGGCGCCACGCACTGGAAAAAAATTCTCGGCGTTTTTACCACGGTCCGTTGGTACCTTTACCATCTCACTTTTTTTACCACTTATTGGTAATTTTACCAATACAGACTGGCAAGCATACCTAAAAACCGGTATAATTTCCGGTAACTTTGCCATTTTATCTCGGTAATTCTACCGCAGTCGATAAAACATATTGGCGTTATTACCAAGGTCGAGTAAAATTACCGAGAAAGTTCAATAATTTTACCGAGTATAAAATTACCAATGCCATAAATGGTAATTTTACCAAGAAAAAACTGGGATCAAATAGAACCCTGATTCCTTGGTAATTTTATCCTTTTCTTAGTAAATACACCGATATTTTTTTTTCAGTGCGATGGTCCAGCCCCCTCGATTTTTAGGCGCATTTGGCGCACGGCGCCGGGGGAAGGCAGAACACTGGTATAGAACAGGATGGATAGGGATAAAACGGGAGGTATCGACTTTAAAAAACTCGACTTGGGATGTATTGACTTTTTGTTATAAAAATTATTGGATTTGTTTGAACTCGGCATCTCGGCGTGTCGCGTGCCGCGTGGCGGTCGTTGCGCCTGACGCGTCAAGTGCCGGCAACTGTCCAGCAGCCATCAACAACATGCTACACGCTAATTAAACAATCCGGCGGGCAGTGGACCTGCCGCACTCCGGCCGCGACAAAGTGTCTCCGATCTCTGGCCATCCATCAAATTGGATTGAATTTTGCAAAAAGGAACCAAGAGAATAACGATATTGCTAAGATTGTGTAGCTCCGTTTGTCTTGGAAGGAATACCTGATTATCTCTGGACAGTTTCTAATTAACTCGCTAAAAAATTACCATGTACATTTCGTATTTTTTCAGGATATGAATAGTTATATTGCAATGGGTGAAGTTGCACAATCTTAGCAACATTGCAATGCTCCTGGTTCCTTTTTGCAAAATGCAATCCAACTTCCACTCCGCTTGAGATCGCTGGCTAAATTCATACAGCTTTTGAAATTTTCGGATTGAATGAAAAAAAAAAAAAAAAAAAAAAAAAAAAAAAAAAAAAAAAAAAAANAAAAAAAAAAAAAAAAAAAAAAAAAAAAAACAGACTTTACCGCGATGGACCAGAAGTATAAATTCATAAACTGCAATTTGTCACCTTCCGGCCAAAGTATCACAAGCGCTACGGGACGTCTCAAAATTTCCGGCGCTAATTATTTTACTGAGAAATTGTTGGTTGAATCTCTTTGAAAATTTCACTGAAATTATCGACAGCACAAAGAAAATTTAGGGAAATTTTTGGACAACTTCGAACATTTTCTCTGTAAAAAAATAAAATGGCGGCGGAAATTTTGAAACGTCGCATGATGCGATTGTCCAATTTGCCCGAAAGGTGACGAATTGTATATCTAACCTTAAACTCTCTTTAAAAATTGTATCTTCCATCACACGCACATGTCATTTAGATTTTGAAAGGATCATTTTTGTCCCTTACATCGTTCATAGAAATGAAAGATTCAAAATACAGATATTGTCTGTCGTTGAAAACCATCGGCTTCAAAAGTTCTCTGATTAAAATTAAGTTAAGATCTAATCATTTTTATGTCGTCCCTCCTTTGCATACGACACACGATGAACTTTATAACAAAAATCTATGCATTTTTGCACGATGTGGCATCTTCACGAACCAGCGGTTGACCCGGGAAACCCCTCGTGATTATGCAAAACGGTGCTATTTAGAAAGTAGAAGGTTAAGGCACTTACACTCTCTGCTGAACAAAGAGAAAAGAAAGTTAAGGATTCTTCGTGCTAAAACTAACTCGGAAATGCGAATACTTCATCCCTCACTCGAGACTCTCATTTGGTGTTGTCAATTGGACGAATTTAACAAAAATAAGCCAACCTATACATTTTGCGTTGTCTACTTTCTTTCCAAATTTAATTTTCTAACGGAGAGTCAAACAACCAAACACATTGAAACTTTTTGAAAATCCCCCGGATTGTAAAAAATAAATTAAACAAATTTTAAATCAAAATGCTCATTACTTTTCTGTTGAAATAGTAAAATACGAAAAGACAATAGTTAACGTCTGGTGTGTTCTGTTTAAATGCATCAAATTTTACTTACAAGATTTTGGGCATCAAATGACAATCAGCACTGTCAGACCATCTCATGGGCGCATTTAGGATTATGAACGCCTTATACGTTATGATACACTGAAGGAGGATAAGCGAATTCGAGATTTTATGCCTGGTTCATACGTGTGTCAGTATTATGTATCTAGTGTACTACCGTTCCAACAAGGATCCACAGGATTCTGGCTCATTTTAGAACTATCAGATGTGACATTAGTTTCCCTATGCAGATTTGTGCTTTCATGGAAAAGCGGCAGAAATGTTTGTCCTCTCTTGAAAAATGATATTGAAATATATGATGGACATCAGTTTTTTCCTGAGAAAGCACTGTCAAGGAATAACTGATTGTACATGCGCGATTTATCAACCTGCATTTGAATTTTGCTCAAAGGGTCAAATTGTGGAGTTTTTGGGGCGTTTCTTTCGAAAAATGATCGAGAATTATCGTCGATTTTTTTTTCAACGCTAGAACAATTTTCCCATTCGGTCAAATAATAATTAATTTATTTTCATCCCCTGTCA